ACACACACACACACACACACACACACACACACACACACACACACACACACATAATTGGGTCAACAGACCGCACATAATATGATCCTTCTGCAGCTCTGCATCCACATTCACACATGACACATGCTACACAATATCTGAGGTTCATGACCTCAACACTCTTTCTTCAAAAACCTTGTGCCCCTTAATCAAGTTCAAACCACAACTACCCCGTCGCCCACATGATCCCCCCCCACCACCATCTCATCCCCTTTACACTTATTCCTTCACATCTGACCCTTTTTCCCACTCAGCCCCTCCCCATGATGCTCTTATTTTCTCACTCGCCCTGCAAAGCTCTTGTAGCCCCGTCTTTGTGTACTGTGTGTGTGTGTGTGTGTGTGTGTGTGTGTGTGTGTGTGTGTGTGTGTGTGTGTGTGTGTGTGTGTGTGTGTGTGTGTGTGTGTGTGTGTGTGTGTGTATATGACTGCCCTCATTGTATTGATGATGTCTCTGTCTGTGCACTAACAACAGACAGATTTAGAGGGAAATGTATGGGCATTGTTAAAGCAATTCATTCTAGCCCATTAGATCTTAAGTAGCCCGCGTTACAGCTGGTTTACACACACACACATGCCTTTGTGTAAGAGTGTGTTTCAGAGCGTAACGATGGACTTCACATCTGACGTAAAAAAATAAATACAGAGGGAAACAAGCTTGACAAGAGAAAGCAATCAAAGATGATTAAAGGCATGGAGACACATTAATGTGCTCCGTATGAGTAAATATCTTCAGTTTTATCTTACAGCTTCCCCACCCATCCTGCCGCCCACCATCTTACTCCGTCCTTCATGTCCTCTCAGTTTAACCAGTAAATCCTCTCCCTCTTCACTCCCGTTTACTCATCATCTTCTCCCCTCCCGCCACTCCTTTCTCTCTCCACTTCCCTTCATCCCTCCTCTCTCTCTGAGTGTATCTTGCTGGTTTAATACCTGCTGCTCCTATCAGGGGATTATTTACTGTATTACCCAGGGGCGACTGGCTGTGAGTTGATGCGGACGTCTTCCAATTAGAAGGGTTATCCCAGCAATAGTGACCAACATGTCTTAACCCCAGGTTTCTCCCGATGTCATTGCCGATGTCATTGCCAATGTGTGTGTGTGTGTGTGTGTGTGTGTGTGTGTGTGTGTGTGTGTGTGTGTGTGTGTGTGTGTGTGTGTGTGTGTGTGTGTGTGTGTGTGTGTGTGTGTGTGTGTGTATATTTATTGGTGTGATAACTTCCTTGAGCAGGTGGCATCTTGCATGGCAGCTTCAGTATGAATGGGTGTGAATGGGGGAATGATGAATTGTATGTCAATCGCTTTGGGGACTCGCAAAGACTGGATAAAGCGCTATGTAAAATGAAGTCCATTTACCATTTAATCAACCACAGTTTAGGATATCATACATTAAAAGGGAGGGGGAAGGTAGACACTAGTTCAGAAGTCCAATAATTGCTAACAAACATTAGCCAAATTAGCTTTGAATAAAGGAAATGATCCTACACATACATCACTGAGATATTTAAGTTACAGCAACCACTTTGAACTGAAGCTAACTCTGTGAGATTAAGTGCTGCTTAACTCTAATGTCAGGTGAAAAGGACATAATAAAGCTTATTTGCTGTAGCCAAATGAGCACACTAACATGCATGCAACTGGAGCTCAGTGGATGAGACCGTACATGTTTTAGTCAGTGAAATAACTGGGTCCATGATGGGTCCAAACCAAACTGTATCCAAAATAAATGCATCCAATTAGCGGTAGAGCTAAATGACATGTCTCATTTTATACTCGGTACGTAGAGCAGTGTGTGTTGATCACACAAACTGCATGTAAACAGTTGACAACACACAGACACCTAATGCCCTTCAGTGAAAAGATGCTGCAATATAAGACTGGGGGGGCAAATAATGATTATTCTTTAAGCCTCAATCTGATCTGCATTGACACTCGTCTTGACTTTAATGAGCTCTTTGGGTCTCACCATCTCATACCCAAGCAACATCAAGGTTATAATCCTTCACATGTTTATAATCAAATGCCATTTTTGATACGAAGTACTGCTGACATTTACCCAGCATTAATGAATGTATACACATCTATTAAGTAGCTTTGATCCTTACTGCTGAGCCCAGGCTGGATTAAAATGCCCTACATGCAGCATGAAGGATGTGGGAAAATTAACCAGGAATGAAATGCTAAGAAATGTAACTTTAATAAGCATTTTTATGATTGTAATAATACAATTCAGTGTTAGAGCTGTTCATTTATTGAGTCATGGTCAGCTGCAGATTCAGTTTGTCATAGTTGGCCTGATGTCACCTAAATTAAAGATTTATTACAAAGAACAATATATTTGTTTAAATCTTAGGGAAAGATTGGAGTAATGTATCACCATGCCATAATGTTTTATTAAGTAATCTCTTGCTAATTGTTTGGGTTTAAAAATGTAAGAAGTGAATAAATAAGTATTTCCGCCTATAACACGTGAAGAAATAGGATAAAAATGACAAATATAAATGTCCACAGTCCACAATGTCCTATAATTACTTGTTTTTTCCAGCAATCCAAATCCCAGAGATATTCAAGTAACTCTGGAAAAGCTGGATCCATCTCCAAATATTTGAGAATTAAATCAATTTAATTAATTTCCTGTTGATTGACCGATCCATTAAAAGACTGATTGTTGCAGCACCACATACTCTCCACGTAGCACGAAACACTAAATCAAGAAGCAGCCTCTCCTATCCAAACACTCTGCACCTGCACACAAATGGAGGAAGCCCACACATGTGGTTGGTGCTGAGCCAAAAATAAGGTATGATGTCATATTAAATGGAGAACAAAGAATCGCATGAGCAAACCAGGAACGCACACACATACACTCTTTTTTCTCTCACACAGACACATATAAAACATTCAATAAGAAATATTAAAGCTAATCATGAAATATTAAAAAGCGCCAAAAAACTATTTCGGCACTGAGTGAGTCACACACACACACACACACACACACACACACACACACACACACACACACACACACACACAGCTCCCTCTGACTGTATAATTTATTTCTCGTCTCTGCATCAAATCTGCTTCTGTCTCCATGGCAACCTTTCTAGGCCAGGGAGAAGACCAATCAGAGAGAAATAAGAAATAACGGAGGGCGACTGAGAGAGATGAAGAAAAGGGGAAGACGGGGGAGAATATGGGATGTAAAGAAGTGATCGGGGGGAGTAAATGATAGAGGAATAGTTTGTATGTTTTTGGGTGCATGTGTGTGTGATTAGAAGAGCAGAGTCCACACAGCGGCTCAGCGTCTGTGGTCACAATACTCTGTGCCCTGCTGCTGGGTCGATGTCTGAAATATCTCACAGTTTACACAGCCTTCAGAGTCAGATAAACACAAACAGTGGAGTGTAACCACATGGCTGGCTCCCAGTTACACCACATGGGCCTTCCTGCTTAAATAAGACTGAGTGGACTTGATTTGAGTAAATGTAGGTCGATTTACAGTCATTATGTTCGTATGACTGCGGTCCAGGGGAGATCGTGAACATCCAAAATGCTGGCATTGCAAGAAGGGAGAAGAGCAGCCATGTTTTCTGCTGGATGGCAGTACATTTTTGACTTTATTAAATCATTTTCAAAAAAGGGTTTCCTTAGACTACCCACTCCAAAACTCACAGAAGAGCAGATCACATTTTCACTGAAATAAAAATGTGATTATGTTTAACCACAACTGCAATACGGGGCTTATCATATCTCTTTCAGAATAGTTATGTTTACATTGGATGTTGGGTTGCAAGTTTATTCCAACGCCTGAAATGTCTGCAAAATAAAAATGTGTTTCTTTGGATTATGTATTAGGATTCTAGTAGCCCCGATATATTATGACTTTTTATTTTTGTTTCCAAGCTAGGATGGCATTTATTTGTAGAGAATGAGAATCCATTATGATTTATTTTACAATGCAGTATTTTTTATCAGCTGTTATGTTGATATGTAACAATGGGCCTCGTCTGGATGTGAACCTGGGAAGATGTAGTTTTATACTATAACAATATACATTTTCTATTTTTGAAGTGACTGGTGGATTGGAAGCATTTAAAAGTGTATCTTCTCCCGAACCTCTTCTCAAGTAGTTAAAAACGAGTTATGGCTTTTCCCTTCAGTTTTAAAGTGTGAATTAGAAAATGTGCATAAAATGGGTAGAAATATCCATATATAGTCATTAAAGGAAATGTACCATACCAATGTACAAGCAACGCGGTGCACATAATGTTAATTGGGTAACTATGTGACTCTAACATAGTGTCTGTTTTAGTGATATTGCCTGTGCAGCTGTACAGCAACAGGCTGTATTATATTACAGAGCCAAAAAATCAGCGCCTCATCAATCCCCGGAGAAAAGATTAAAAAAAATCCTCTTAAGACTACAGGGCAATTGCTTTAATTGGGGAGGATGATTAAACATATTAACCTTAACTCACTCAAGCATTCTGCATAAAACAATGTCATAGTTGAAGTGGGGTGTAACATCTTCCAACAATACATGCATACTAAGTCTTCCCAGTCTGATGGGGAGAACCTCTCACCTGCAGACGAGCGTGGCGATGATGACGCACCAGGCGGTGCAGCAGCAGTCAGGGCTGGGCTGCTGGGAGTGAGTGTGAGAGTGAGACGAGTCGTCCCTCTTACGTCTCCGGCAGCAGAGCCAGAAAGAGTAGAAGAGGAGAAAGATGAGGTCCAGGCCCAGACACAGCAACGCCACAGAGCCCAGCAGCAAAATGGACTAGAGACAGGAGAGAATCAAAAAGAAAAACAATGTCAAATGTCAGTTTATGTTGAACGTTTTCTGTCAAACTTCAGTCCTTATCACCAGGGACAATTAAGGAAGTGGGTTATATATACAGGAAGCAAATCAGCTGATATGAGCAGAAACCAAGACACAAAGACGGACAGAGGATTTGGTTCTTCTTGTGCAGACAGACGCGCACAGATCGTGTTTCTCTCTGCAGCTATTTGCGGCCATAAAGTAGTAGCTGTTAAATGGCTGTTTGATGGATTCCATGAAAAACACATTTGCACACCATCAAACGTGCACACCTCCATGGAGAGAGCGGAAGTGCTGCAGAGACCCACCACACAGATCACACACCCTCTAAAAGCTTTGAAGTGTAAAAGTAGGAAGGGCTGGGGGAGGGGGGGGGGTTACATTTGGAACAAAAAGAGACGCGAGAGAGAGAGAGAGAGAGAGAGAGAGAGAGGAAAAGAAGGAGATGTGAAAGGACACGACTGAAGCCAAAAAGGGAGAAATGGTTGAAGACAGGGATGAGGGCTGTTACAGCAATTTGTCTGGAGCTGATTACATCTGTTTTTAACACACACACACACACACACACACACACACACACACACACACACACACACACACACACACACACACACACACACAGTAAATGTCTGGAAAAGTCGTTGTACTGCAGGGCCATGAAGCAGAGACAAAGGCACGTTTCTGGAAAACAGAAATGTCCACCTGCTCCACTGCTTGCGGTCGACAAAGGAATGATGCCACAGTCCTTCTAGAAACAGCAACAGTGGGACTCCTCCACGAATGATATCAAAATCTGTCTCCACCTCTGAGATTCCCACAGACTTCCTGGCTTCCCGGGCCTCTTTACTGCTGCGTTTCGTGCTGACTTGATTTTTTCCTCCCTGCCAGCCAGCAATTTCCTCACCCTGCAGCGATTTCTCTACTGTAAATATGTGTGTGACTTGAGTGTGCCAGAATAGACTTCATTTACATAAAGCATTTAATGTAAAGCATGTATCAAGGATTTTAGTTTGGCAATGTAAAGTATGAAGGTTTGGGCCAGTGTTTCCCCACATAGACGTCTGGACCCAGATGTTACATGTGTGGGGTTGCAAGATATATAACAGCATAGGAAAGCAAGGAAATTGCATTCCCACATCAAAGGATTAACATTTGTTCTCAGAATTTAGCTTTTTGTCTTTTGAATTACGGGATTATTTGACCTCTTCAGGTTTGAAAAGGTCTAAATCAGAATCATTTACAACCGTAATATTCAAACTTGAGGGGGCTTCTTCCAGGGTTAGAACATAATTATTTACAGCCATGCGTCAACTTGCTCACATGCACAATGATAATGTTGTGATGTTTAGCGAGTATTGTGTTTACCGCCTTCACGACTGTAATTGGGAGATTTAGTGCGTAATCCTTACATTTGCTTATAAGAATAAAGTAGATCTGAAGCTGAAAGGTTTGTCAATGGTTGTATTGTAGGGCTGCTCAATTAAATCGTATTTTAATCGCAATTACGATTTTGGCTAGCAACGATTATGAAAACAACATAATCGAAATAAAACTATTTTCTTTTTTTTTTATTGGTTTTTCAGTTGAATTATACTTAAAGTTCACGGTAATCAACTGTTAAAAACATACTGTTAAAATATTTTTTTTCAATAAATGGAAGTTTTCAAAGTAAATGAATAATCGTTTTTAATAATCGTGATATCAATTATTGCCCCAAAGAATCGAGATTATGATTTTTGCCATAATCGAGCAGCCCTTTTGTATTGTATTTAGTCGTAAACCATGTTCAGGTCATCATCAGGTCAGCGCTACCACCCAACTACTCATCCTCTGGATACCATCAATATCTGTAGAACATTTCCTGGAAATCCATCAAATAATTGTTGATATTTGGCAAACACATGGGCAGACTAACCATTATCGCTACATGGTTAAAAACACTAGTATCTCCAATAAGATACATTTTGGATATCTAGGGCAACATGTACTTATCTGATTAAGAAGCTTTTATTCTCTGGAGCCTGATTTGGTATGCTGTTATTCCAAGGAAAGTCCTCATCCTCAGAAACACTTGTATCTCCATTGGGATTGGATTGTTAATGCAAAATGCGGTCCGTGGCTTATCTGTTCCACCTCTGGAGACTAATCTGGCATGTTGTTTTTCCAAGGAAATTCCTGAATCTCATTAACATCACAGACATAACTGTTGTTCAGACTAACCAGCCACACTGCAGGCAGCTCATATTCTGTCACCAGCTTTTCTTCAAAGGCACAAATCTCTTTCACATTGAGGAACAATGCAGACTAACAAGGTCGGCATTTCAAAGTAAAGTGTGATTAGTGGTAGATTTATCACCAGGCCAGCAAAAGGGCACTGCATTAAATCTGATGGGCTGCTTCTCCTCCAGCGCGGCTAGTGGGTCAGTGGAGCACTACAGCGGAGAGGACACCATTTGATATCGGTCTGTAATAGGATGTGACCTGTGGTGTAATGTGACATCTGAAGGGAGGGACGAAGGCTAATCTTTGATACGCAGTCCGAACCACAACCCTCAGTCCCTGGTGAGGAATCAGAGCACTTCTATTGTCTCTAACTACAGCCTACAGGCTAGGAGATATGAATGACTGGAATTAAAATGAACTTGGAAAATGAACGCTGCTCAGGTGGTTTAAATAGTAAAAGGTGATCTAATTTTGCTACGAGGCTATATGTTTTATCTGTAGTCGATGTAAAGTCACCATAAAAACTAAATATATTTCAAATAATAAGTAAATAAATAGTAAATAGAATCATTAAAAACATGCAACATAGAGGCTCACAAAGCTGGAAATGCTAATAAAAATAATAAAACATAACATACATATTACATAGCCAGTGGAAAGCCACGGGTTGAAGCAGTAGAGAAAGACAGAGGGCTGTACAATCCAATAGATAGAACTGATTCCTAACTTACTTTTAAATGTTATAACGTTTAAATAAACAGAATTTTGCTTGTTCTGTGCTGTGACTAAAATGACTTTTCCTAAGCGTAATAACGCGTTCTCCTCCTCTTGTTTACCTATATCCAGTTGTCCTTGTGTTGATAGACTGTCTGCGCAGAGGTGAGGTTAAGCCATGTAAGATCTTGTACAGACGGCATTTGCATGTTTATTCATGTTTTCAGAGCTCAACAACTTGCAGGGCAGTCAGTCACAGGGCAGCAACTACAATTATGTTCATTATAAAATCATCTGCTTATCATTTACCAGATAAATGGATAAATCAGGGGGTCTATGTCCATCCCAAAATCTAAGGTGATGTATTTGTATGTCTTGTTTTGATTAAACCCCAGATATGTTTAGTTTAATATAATAGAAACACATTAAGCCTATATATTTAAGAGACCAAACCATGGATGTATAATAAGAACTGGATACAGCGTGGGAGGCGGGGCCTAGTTCATTCCTATGAGAGTTGCTCATTGGTGCATGAAGACAAAATGGCCCAACTTTTGAGAGAGCGAAACGTCACGAAAGTATTCATATAATCATATAATCCGTTCTTATTGTGCATCCATGGGTAAAGGTAAAACTCATGTAGTACTGAACACGTCACATGAACTTGCCTGGGCGACGCGGTCCCGTGGGTTGGATCCACGTTCATTATACCGAGGAAAATAACTCTCAGAATAACGTTATTAGCACATTTTACAACTTGAGGACCGAATGTTTTTAATAAGGGTTATACAAACGTTCATACTGGGTAGTTTATTTAGTTTAAAAAAAAATATCCAACGATTTACAGACGTCTCTTTCCCAATGTTAGTCAAAGGGAAAAAGTCTTTCCGGGCCCAGTGACTGATACGGAAGTGTAGTACCGCCGTTTGGCCACAACGAATATTTTCCTCAGAGTCCGGCGCACTTCCTGGGGGCTTGGGCCAGACCTGAATGTTCTGCCATATTGTATGAAAAATGACACAAATTAAGTATAAAGTATCAAATCTAAGCAACAACCTGCATCTATGTGTCATTTGTCAGTTTCTTTGTTGGCACATTATCTCTTTCTCATGAGAAACCAGTTGTTAAGCAGGGCTGAGAGAGAGTTCATCGACAGATTGCTAGTCCACAACAGGTTAAAGAAGATGAGGGTGGGAGGAGGGGGGAGATAAGCTCGGTAGATTCTTAGTCTCTGGTATTATTCTATGTTATTATCTATAGGCTTAGTGCCTGAAACATCTATGGTGAAAGCGTACTGTGCTCCACTAATGCACTGTTTGACCTATTGTGTCAACGATAATACCAGAGAGAGTAGAATGCATTAAGCTTCAAATAATGAAACCTCGCGCAATAACGGCCAAAGCTTTTATTGATATGTCACGCTAAAGGAATAGCAATAGTGTAACAGATACAGTGATACAAAATGACAATATAAAGTGTGTTAGTTTCCATATGAATTCAAGTGTAGAGTTGAAATAGTAAATCAATAAAAAGTCAACAAAAAACTAACAAATACTTAGATAATAAATCAATGATTAATGATTCGAGTCATATATCAAGCAGTTCTTTGGTCATATGATATTTAGCTATATATATTTGGGTTTCTTGGTTGGAAATACAAACAATCTGACCTTGAGGCTCATATGGGTAAAAATGGACAAACAGATTCATTAATAATAAAAACAAAACTGTCTATTAGTCATAATCTTTCTTTCTTGCTCGTCAATCGAGTAAAAACATCCTAGGCCTAGAACCAAAATAACTACATTTGCTGTGGAAAGTAAAGACAAGCATGTTTACGTCTGAAAAGTCATGACCACTGGATGTTTGACATGTTTGTGTGTCATTAACAAATTAATTGAACAATTACTTGACACATAAACATGTCAATCAACTTATCATGTCAGTGCATGTTTGCATATAAAGCAACAACACTGGATCCAGTATTTATTTATTTTAATTTGATTAATGTTACATTTATAAGCAGAGTAAGGGAAAGGTCTCTGCAGACAGCCGCTCTGCTCCCTCTGGTATGATGGCCGCTAGATTAACTGTCAGGCTTACAAACCATCAGAGCCGATTAAGTGTGGATCAATTAGCTACTAATAAGCGTGGTGAGCTTGTCTGTGCATGTGTGTGTGTGTGTGTGTGTGTGTGTGTGTGTGTGTGTGTGTGTGTGTGTGTGTGTGTGTGTGTGTGTGTGTGTACTTAGATGTAAGTGTGTGTACATATATGCTACTGGAGACCAGTTTGCAGGCTGGAGGATGGGCTAAATGTTAAACGGTCAAGCACAATGATCTACTTTCAATCTGGCCATTGCAGTGTGTGTGTGTGTGCGTGCACGCCTGTGAACGTGCGTGTGTGTGTTTGAGCTGACAGGATCAATCACTTCCACCTCAGTAAGTTGTCCTTGCACTCTCCCTGCCCGCGTGTTACTCTGTAGTTAAAGGGCTCCACTACTATCCTCTCAACTCCTTTCCTGAGGCGCTGACTGACCTTGGGTTCATCCTGCGAGTTTTCACCTGTTCTCCTGGGTCAAAGGGCAACCAAAGCACTAACGGCTCATCTGTGTTCAGACAAAGGCCTTTGTTGACTTGTTTGACTTATTTCTTATTTTAAACATAAAAAAAGGGGCCCTATTATGCTTTTGCAGTTTGCCTTTCTTGAAGTGTGTTATATAGGTTATTGTGCCGTCAAATGCCTCCATTGGACTTCTTTGTTTACTTCCATATCAGGGCTCCATGTAACACTTGTGCGTCTATTGGCTAGCGCTCCAACACATTGTACGTGATAGGCTAAGGGCAGGACATCTCTAAGCTGTTGACTTAACAGTCACAACAGAGCCGGCCAGCTAACCAATCAGAGCAGACTGGGCTCTGGTTTCAGACAGAGGGTGAAAAGAGGTGCTGCAGCACGCTTTTTGAACATTAAAGCATGGAAACATGTCACAGTGGAGACACTAAAGACAAATATGAACCTGAAAATTAGCATAGTAGGGCCCCTCTTTCTCCTAATCTGTAAACCAGTTGTTACTGGACAATCAAACATGCTTATATAAACATGAGTAGGGGCTAATTCATTATTTTTCTAATTGTCTAATTGCCTATTAGCTTTTATCTGTGTGTATGTGCTTTGGTATCTGTTGTGTGCTTATAGGTTGGGTTTAAAGTGCTTTTTATTGTCGAAATGTGTTTTAATTGTGCTCATGAGTTTTTGATTTTAATGCCATCCTCAGCCTACCAGGGACTGCAGATGAAAACTAGCCTCTGTGGCTAAATCTGGCACATCATGACTCAAGTGGTCATGCTAATTCATGTGCATTGTCCCTAATTATATAAATAAAAACAAATACAGATCCACTTTGTTCCTTTTCAAAATGATAATATCTTTCACTGTGCAAACCATAGCAAACTATTCAGAATACCAATTACAGATTTACTTTAGACGGCTGGGGAAATGTGTTATTACAGGTCACATGAGTCCTCTGTAATGTTCTGCAGCTGTTTCACTGTGACTGGGAGCTGACGATTCTACCATAATACAAATAGACGAACACACACACACACAGAGGGACTGACACACATGCTATTCTAATGCCTTGCAGAACCTCAGGATAACAGCTCCTATTACAGCTCGTCGGGAGAAAGAAATAAGGCAGTTGTCTTGCAGGAAGACATTGAGTCAGCATCCCAAATTAAGTCAATGTCATCGGAGAACAACTGCTCTCGTAAATGAATGCTAACCAGTGTGTTTAAGGGGAAGGTCCTCCAGAATAACAACATGAGTGAGTGAGTGACATTGTGTGAGAAGAAAGTTTTAAGCAGCTTCAGAGCTCGAGAGCTGAATACAAATGAACCTGAGACAAACATATCGGAAAGAAAAACACTACACAGAAGAATCTCTCTCTCTATTGTGTGTTGTGGTGACGGACTCAGTGCACTGAAGGACACTGTGTAGGACCTTGTTTGTGTGTGTGTGTGTGTGTGTGTGTGTGTGTGTGTGTGTGTGTGTGTGTGTGTGTGTGTGTGTGTGTCTCAGCTGGATGAGTGGATGCATGAAAGCCTTTGAGACAGATATAGTGAGCCAATCTAAAGACGGGCTTCGGTGAAAGAGTGAAAGACAGAAAGAGAGCATTCTTTCACAACAGACTACAGCCCCCCCCTCTCTCCCCCTCTCTTTCCCCTTTTCCCTCCCCCCCTCTATCCAATTCAACCTCCTTCTTCTCGTTCTTCTCACCCTCTATCCCTCCCTCTCCCTCCCCTCGTCTAGCCAGAATTAATGATTTCACCCTGACTAGAATCCCTGCATTCAAACCAACACAAACACAATAACACACACAAACCCCTGAGGGAGATCTGTGACCTCACCTCAACAAACAATGCTAAGTGCTAAACACTCACTGACACAGAAAGTGAACATACTGTAACATACAACATATATAACATGCACAACTTCTGTGCGTACAAATAACATAGAAACAAACATATGATTATAGAGCGGGGTGCTCAGTGACATAGAAACAGCCTCATCGGCTAAAATATGTCAGGATGTAATTAGTCTAAAAAGGGGGGTTCTTAAAATTCCAGTGGTCACACACACTCACAAAGGCCCTTAGTGAAATGCTGAATAGCTCGCAGGAAGTGGCTATTTGGCAATTTAGAAGCACCTCCCATGGCTCTTCTCTCTTTCCTCTCGCCTCCAATCAGTCTCTTTTTATCTCTCTCACTCCTCCTGCATCTCACTCCACTTCCCATCTCCCTCCCATGTTCATGGCTGTGGGGGCCTTCCCACGCTCGGCTCTTGAACTTACACACCCTGCCTCTTCTCCCCCCCCATGCATGTCAGCAAACTGCATTGAGGGAAATGTGGGATTCTAAGCGATGTGTCTCGGCTTTTTGTGGCTTCGCAGGGTTTGTGTTTCTGGTGCAGAGACCTGGAAGTCACCTTGATTGAGGATTCAAATGAAATGCAGCAAAACTGGGCCAAAGCCCCTCCTGGAGATGGAGCTGCTCTCTAACAAGGCAGCGCTGCAGACTCAGTCGGAGCGCAGAGAGACTCCAATTATGCTTCTCATGATTGGTTTTACTTCTTGGTTATTTTTCGAATTAATCGATTACTTGTACATTTCAATTAGCATTAGCTCAAATGGGTTTCTTAAATGTCTTGTTTTGTTCAGCCAACAGTTCAGAGTCCGTACGTCTTCAATTCAAAATAGTATACAAGCAGAAAAATCCTCATGTTTAAGACACTGGAACCAAAAATGATTAGCATTTCGGCTCTTTAAATAACTTACAATACAAATTGTCACAATCACGACAATTTTCTGTCCATCATCATAACACATTTTTTCGCCTCGTGACAAATTGATAGCCACGCAAGCAATGCCTACTCGCTATCCCTCGTCAGATTGTCTAGGCTAGGGTGATGTGTAGGAGCTTCAAGCTGTTCATCTAAAGTCTCATTTTAATAGTTTTCAGAGTCCTGAAGACTCGAATAATAGCAAACATCTGAGAAAACATAAAAAAAATGAAATGCTGAGTCTTTGTCTTCCCGATCTCGCTATTTATCTTGCTCAGATTGATATTGAAACCTTAAAGGGTTCGAACCCCTGCCTATTGATTATGCAATGTAATAAATTGTGCAGAAGCTTTATCCATAACAAAGATGGAGCAGGTAGGGGATCAGTGCTTTCATTCAAGGACATTTCACACACACACACACACACACACACACACCATTGATCGATGCAGGGAGGGAACCCACAACTCTGTGGTTGCAGGACAGCCTCAGTCACCACTTGGCCACTCTGCTGTGAAATTGCAGTGTGGGCAGGTGGCAGAAGGTGGGACGATAAGGTGATGGTGAAGGGGGTGATGAATTCTGACTGGGAGGTTATAATTCCCCCGTACTTGTCTTACCTTCTGGTACTCAGAGTCCTCCGGTCTGAAGTCACTGCTCACCACCTGGAATTCGATGTTGAAGTGAGGCAACCGGTGGAGCAGATTCACCCACCAGGGCGGAGAGTAGTTCACCACGGCCGCCATCCTGATCCAGGGACCGTCACTTCTCTCTCTAAAGCGATTCCTCACACGGACACTGTAGAGAAAACCATGACGGTTGTGGGTTAACGGGGCATAGACATTATTTGACGGACAATTCACAGCACCTGTCGTGTTGGGGAAAGCTAGAATAGTAGTATCAATGTCATTTCTTCAAGCATTTTATTTAAATGGTTCAGTATCTACAGTCCTAAATCTGTCAGCTACCGATAGTCAAAGCCAGCTTCTATCAACTTGAATTACTGATGACTGACATAATTACAAAGTCAATATGATGAGTTATGTGTGATTAGTCACTAACTGGGGTGGGAACAACATGTCAATCTACTTGGCAATATATTGCACACTCTTTTTCCATTTGTTGAGAATACAATGGAACACAGATTTATTAAGATGCCTTACGAATTTCACATCCTAATTAGAATTTCTATTGAAAGAAAATACTTCAAACACATCCTGTCTCCAATATGTACTGATGGTGCTGAATGTTGATAACAGTGTGCAATAATACTGTCCTCGTCTGTCATTTCCACCATAATAAGAAACAAAACAATAAAGTGTTAATGTGAGAATGATATTTGTAATAGAAATGCAATTCAAAAAGCCAAAAAAGATTCCCTTTGTCACTGTGGCTATTTTAAATGGCATTAGGGGACAAAGGCATCACTGCAATACAGATACAGCATTGCAATATGCTATGTGACTGCATTATGATAACTGGGGACGACAATATAAGTGTCATTGAGCAGTTCATCCCATTCTAATCAACGAAAAGCCATTAAAGCTATCGCTGTGATAATATCTCTCCTAAAATGTCATTTTAAAGAGCCTGTTGTAAGCGAATATTAAACGCATGAGGTCATACTGTATATGAATGATCATAACAGCAGCATGGCTGACAGCAACATCGCATCACACAATTTACGCCCATACGGCAAAAAACCCTGGCTTCGTGAGATAAATATGCGATGAAATGGCCGTTATATATCAAACACCACACACACACACACACACACACACAGAGAGATACACACACGAGACTCATTTCTTTTACTGACTTGACTGTACGACAGCATGTAGGTCAACTCAGTCTATTGTTCATGTATATATTTCACTTATCCTCCATTAGTCTTGCAACATTCCCTTGCACTATTTTATTTATATTCTATTATTTCTCGCACTATTTGTATTGTTGTTATTGTTTATGTCTGTATATTAATGTTGCATTGTTGGAGGAGCCTGGGATTTAAGATTTTCATTGCCATAATTACACTGTAGCTACTGTGCATATGACAATAAAACCTTTGAATCTTGAATCGATGGTTTCCTCAGGAATTCAAGTCAATACACAAACAATATAAACGGATTAGCTGCTTTGACCGTTAAAACGACCGCAGTCTCGCGGAGTCTCCAAGGCAAAGGGTTAGAGAACCGTTAAGAATCCGCTTCAGGGTTCCGTGTCTGCGGACATCAAAGCCTCCGTGTGTCGGGAGGGGTTGGAAATGAAATATGTTAACCTACCTAGTGAAGCAGAAGCGGATGCAGACTCTCGTTTAGTGTCGTCTTGGGAGAGTCCAGGCCGGCGTGTATTTCACCTATTGTCTTCCCGGTGGTGGATTTGAACCCCCACAGCCGTGCGCTGCTGCATCAACGCGGCCGAACCGAGGCTGAAACCGCATTTAAACACAACAGACTACCCGGTCCACATTCATTTCACCCAGATACCCCGCTGTTTTTCACCGAAGAGCAACAATACCACGGAAGACTAGGGGTTCAATAAGACACTATCTTCTTTAATTTCGTTCAGGACCGTCGTGTTTCTCCCTTAAAACATGACGGTTTGTGCTCCTCGTGCGGTGTTGTTCCCACGGTCGGTTCAGTGAGTAAAGCGCTGCTGCGGCGACTCAATTGGATGGCATTGTTGGAGCGTGAAGCAAACACGGTGTTTAAAAAGCCCTGAAGGACGGGGCTTTGCGGCAGCTCTCAAGCTCTGCATGCAAAAGTGTGTGTGTGTGTGTGTGTGTGAGTGTGTGTGTGTGTGTGTGTGTGTGAGAGAAAGAGAGAGCAAATGCACAAAGAGGTCGCCCCCTAACGTTGAAATGATGGTAGTGCAAAAATGTGATCAAAATGTAAAGCATTTCCCTGTTTTGTGTTTGTTTGGAGCAGTAATATTATCCAAATACTAAATCAAAACTTTCTACCTCTGCTTTACGACAAGAGCATAATCAGACACAGGTTTCACTATAAAAACAGCATTTTATTACATTTTTCAGAACAGAAGCTACACACACAAGAAACAGCACCCATCCATTCTCTCTGTTGACCTCCTTATAGGTTTTGTTTATTTAAAAGCAAAAACATAATTGGCATCAGACATACTCCCTGTGTGTCCTCCACTGTACTGACTGTGTGTTTAGTATTGCAGCAGACTGATCTATAATTTATTCACAGTTTGATCAATAGTGCATCAGTTGAGAATCATCCCTCAGTCATACCTCAGAATCAGCCATTATTTATTAAGTGCACATGATAGATTTGTGTAATGTCGTTTGTGTGTTACAAATCAGGCATGACAAAATAAGAGCCATTCATTATTCTAAGTCTGTGAGATCCAGAGGAGTGACGTGGCTCACTATGGCCAAGATAAATTAACACATTTATTACTGATATTTTAATTGAAAACCATGCAGTAGGCACTTTGGTAAACAAACAACTATTGATAAAACAGAAGACTGTTGAAAATATATTTGGCTCAAATGATTACAAATGAAAGGAAAGTCTATTTTATGTTCATGTGAGTGCTTTCTACTAAAAGAGAACATCCTAAGTATAGACTCATGTCAACACTGGGATGAATCAACATATTGTATTTTGACAGCATCATAAATAAATCATGATCCAAGTGAGGTGTTTATGTGCCTCTTAACTTCATGTCATAACCCTGAACCCAATGTCCCAGAATGCTCTGGTTATTACTGTAGAGAATAAAAGCATTTTGCATTCAGAAAATATCGTCTGTTTCAGAAATCACTCACTACTCCCTCCCTCCCTATTAACTATCTAGGGAGCGTTATGTGGACGTCTATAAAGGGAGCTCATTGGCTAAATGAAAAAAAATACTACAACTTCTACTTCTACTACCACTTCCATGTGGGAAAGGTTAGACCTCAGGCCTTTCTGCAAAAAAAGTTGCACACGACCGGTAATTTTCCCTGTCTTGTTAAATACATTCTTCTTGAGCCAGAAAAAAGTGTACTGGTGGACCATGCATAATTGTTACTGAAATGCGTTTTTATGATAAAAACATGATATTATATGGATCGATTTTTCAAGAATAAGAAACCCAAAGTTATTTGTCTAGGTTGTCTGCATTGTGGTATAATTTCCTCATATTTAACATGATTTTCTTGCCATCACTCGTGGATTTTTCTCAATTGCCCTCTTTTTTCTTCCCCAATTTACAATTTCCTTCAGTGCATTAAATAATGGTATATAGTGTTTGGTTAATCAGCTGTACACATGGATGTAAAAACTACTTTTCACTATTGATTGTGAGATACTCTGGTTCCACTATATAGGGTATAATGATTCCTAGTATACATGGAAAAGCACTACAGTATATCAAACTCTCTACATAGAGGACTATATAGGGAGTGGTGAGTGATATCTGACACAGACATTGTGGATGATTGATGTTACCCTTACTAATATTGTAATATCGCAGCAATCATTTGCAGGTTCAGTAAGAACCCAAACCAGAAAGTACTGTATGACATACAGGATCTGAGAAGAAACAAGCAGAAATTGTCCCTGCACACACACACTCTCTCTCTCTCTCTCTTGAACACTAACCCCCACACACACACTCATTCACACACAGCCCAGAGGGTCTATAACATTAAGACTTCTCTGCTTCTCATAGGGCGTGACGGAGAAACGATGATGTCGTCAGAATCGTCTGAATCGACTGCAGCAGACTCAGCTGGGAAGTGAAGCTCTGTGGGAGATAAACAGGTATCAGTGTACTAAATCAACTGGGTATGAACAACACTGAGTTTGTTCTGCTTTGAAAAAGGAAAATTCATCACTTTTCAAGCACTTTCAATTTACCCAAACCTAACATTTCCTGAGTTTTAAAACCCTTATCGTCTAAGTTGCAAATATAAATTATATTGGGAAAACAAAGCTTAAATAATTACTTGATGGCCACAGCAATCAGTGTATAGTCACTTTGTGTCACTGGTGTAAAACAAAAATGTGTTTCATTTCAAGATGTTCTGTTACAGTGAGTGATTGTGTTAATAAAACACAGGAGTATTTTCACATTTAACAATATTCCTAAACTTAAAACATAATGGTTCAATTCAAGCATTTTCTAACTTACTATACTT